CGGTCTGGGGCCGTTTGGGTATCAGCCTCCCCACTGCCGCCATTTAGAGGGGCTCATTTGGTGTCATCGGTGCCAGGAGCTGCTGCTGGCCAACAAAGAGCCAGTTTTGGGGGACAAAAAGTTATCTGTCTCCCACCCCAGCTGCTGCAGGGCGCTGATGGCCATCTCTGCTGGAGAGGAAGGTCAAGGAGAGGCTCTTTGGTAGGGAAGGAGGTGGCGCAGAACCTTTGCAGCCACTGGGGAAAGCGGACATACAGCTGACGGACACGTGTGACTGCCTGTCCATCCAGCCCTCCCGATGCCCCCCACCCCATGCAAGCCCCCTGCTGCACACACACAAGCCAGACCAGAAGGGTGCTAATGCTCCCCTACACAAAACGGCTGGAAACGCACAAAACCCCCAAGAGAAACACCCGCACGCACGTCCTCCACAGACCCAGCTAGCTGCCAAGGGAGGGGAAGCGGCAGGAGCGCTTACTGGTGGTGTTCCCTGCCAGCTTCAGCTCCAGCTCCTGCACCTGTTTGACCAGGAGCGAGATGTGCTGCAGCAAGTCCTTGTTCTGGAGCAGGAGCTGGTGCACGCGAGCCTGGGCCTCCAGCCGCGCCGCCGCCTCTGCGGCCAGCTGGTCCTTCAGCAAGTGGACCTGTGTGATGGGAAAGAGCGGGTGAGCATGTGAGAGACGCTGCTCTAGGGCTGAGAGCTCCGACCCCAGCTATCCCTGCTCCTCTACCAGGGCTCATCAGCACCCCACCGAACGACGCGACGAAGCAGCCGTTCCCTGCAGATTCCTCCAGATGCGATGGGGACAGCGGGAGCAGGCAGCAGTGCCACACCGAGGCACACTCAGCAAATCCAGTGCAAGGTCTTGGCCTCTCTGATGGAAAAACCCGAGGCAAAGGGAGGTGGTACTGACCGAATCATCGGTCACCCATGTGTACCGCAAACACACGGGGAAAGGGCAGCCTGGGAAGCCAGGTGGATGTGGAAGAGAAGACATGCTTGACCGACTGGACGGAGCTGTGGGTGCATGAGGGTGCAGCTGTGCGCTGTGAGCCGGCCCTGGCCGAGCTGTCTTTTCCGGCAGGTTTCCCAGAGACAGGGTCCTGCCAGCGGCGTCTGTCGCTAGCAGGGGTTGGAGCATCAGAGCGACCCTGGAGCGGCAGGCGGCTTGGGCTGCGCCACGCATGACATGCCTAGAGCAACACGGATGGCAGAGCGCTGCCAAGACACGGTGGCAGTGGAGACACGAGCTGGCTGCTCATTCTGGCCCTGGGAAGTGATGCCTGGACATTAGCTGGTGGGGAGTCCATGGGCGAGAATCCCACTGATTTTGGCATAACTGCCAAAACATCTACATATGCAAACATCTCTATCCCCAGCACCGCATCCCAGGGAGGGTGGGATGCTGCTGGGCGAGACCAGTCAGGAGCCCGTGCCCAGGGACAGCAGGACAGCTCTCTGCTCTGAGCTCAAGCAAGGAGAGCCCCAGGAGCGTACTCCAGAGAAGGGGACAGCAGCGCAGAGCCACCTTGGAGTCACATCAGCTCAGCACCCCTTCCTGCCACCCACCCAGGCCTCCTACAAGCACTCCTCTCTCCAGCAAGGACTGAGCCAGCCAGGCTCCTGGGGAACCAGGAAAACATGGATTTAATGAAAAAAAAACCCACAAAAAAACCCAAACCAAAACAGCCGCATGAGAGAAAAAAAAAAAATCACAACAAAAAAGAGGCAGTTTTACCTTGGCCTAGAAAGTGACCTTGGGGAATAGGGAGGGCGCTCCCTGTAGCCTGCCAGGGAGCTGCTGTGAGCTGCTGCTGTGGGTGCAAGGCCCCCGAAGCAGCACAGCTGGGGCCACCTGTCCTCCTGGATGGGTACCAGAAGGCAGCGTCAGGTCTGCGTCCTGCGCTGCCAGACCGCAGGCAGCAGGGCAGGGCCCTTGGCAGAGCAGAGTGGAAGCATGGGGAGCTCGGGGAGTGGCAGGACGCCAGGCGAGGGGCTGGGACTCACGGCTGCCCATGAAGCCAGACCAAGGGCAAGCGGGTGCAATACTTCACACTCTGTGTGGGCAGCACAGAGCCCGTTTGGTTGGCCTGTGGGACCCCAGCCTGGCGAGACACCCCACACCGCTGCTGCGGGAACCGAAGTCACCTCCTTCTCCTGCCAGCGGTGGGACAGTGGGTCACAGCGGCACAATGGGACAGGAGCCCTCTGTCATGTGCCGGTGGGTGAAGCACAGATCCCGAGCGGAGCTTGCAGTGGTGGAATTGCATTTAAATGCTAAGCGGGTGTGAAAGCTCGGTGTTGACAGTGTCAGCCTGGAAGTCATCCTTCCTCCCAGCTGGACAGCTGTGTCCATCACAGGCACCTGCAGCTGGGCCCAGGTGATGCTCAGATGATGCCAGGAGAAGATGTGAGCAGAGCCCAGAGGTGACGTCTTACTGAAGGGCAGTGGCTCATGCCACCAGCCCCCTGGGCACAACTCCCAGGAAGGACTCCTGGCCTTAATCCAAGAAAAAGAACTTTCACAGGTATCTGGAAACGCCTTGCAAAAGCAATTCTCTGGTCAATGGAGGAACTAAATGGCATTTCATTCTCAGCCAAGTAATTATAGGCCAAGATAATTACAAGATGGTCCCAGTGCCTACAGACCCAGCACGGACCCTGGGCGGCACAGTGGATCTCCTGGCTTTGTCAGTAAAGAATTCAGCCTGTGCCCATCACCACGTGCCTAGAGACAGACTGACTCAGTAAAACAAACTGACAAACCAACTGAGAGGAGATAACAAGTGCCATTGAGAGAGGTGTTGATGTAATGCATTCAGTCATCTGAAAGGCATTTGACATGAGAGGGTACAACTTTTTCATTAATAAATTACAACGATACAAAACCAAGACGGCACAGGCTGAAGGGATTAGAGAGCTGCTAAGTGACAGCTCCTTGGGCAAGAACCACCCTGGGGTGGGCAGAGGTTCAGAGCAGGCATCAGCCCTAGAAGAGAGGGGGATGAGGCCACTGGCTGCCATCCCATGAGACAGCCAAGAAATGGCGTTATACTATTTCAGATTTTGATCTGGAAGTAGGAAGAAAAAGAAAATCACCACTGCAAGGCTCTGCAGGCGCAGAACAGCTGGGAACTGCTGAAAGTGAGCAGTCCCCACTGCAGAGGGACCTGGCTCTGCCTGGCAAGCTTTGTCTGTAGCAACGCTATACTTGGGCAGACATAAAGCATCCCTTGACGATATGGGTCCCTCCTCCAGAGGGGAAAGTGACTTCCCAAGCCTGTGACCCCAGAACGCACATGGGCTCTCGGGGCAGCAGCACAGCCAGAAGGATGGATGCTGATTTTCTGATGCGTGAAGAGGAAAGCCGTGGGAAAGCACAGAAAGGCTGCCAGAGCTGATCGCTCAGGCCGGGAAGAAAGTCAAGCAATTGCAGTGAGCTCTGGGAAGGGTCAAGGAACAAGTAAATCTGAGGTAATGAGTGGGATAAAGTGGCCAGAGCTGCTTAGATGAGAAATACCTGCATGGAGAATGAGCTGCCAGCTGTGCAGCCCAGGCAGCCGTCAGCTGAGGCTAATGCTGAGGCCAGCTGTGGGCCAGCAGACTGGCCCAACAACCAAGAAACACGGTGGCATGCAGAACTAAGCGTCTCATCTTTTGTGACGGGGCCAGAACAAACTGTCACCCCTCTGCCCTTGCTGCACAGTCCTGGAGATGGTCCCTCCCCAGCCCCTGCGCCCCAGCTTCTCCCCACAACCACCACCTGAGCATCTCTGCCTGGAGGCAGCCTATCCCCCCAGACCCTCTGGGCAGGGGGTACCCTGGGTAGCCCACCCCAGCCCTGCCGCTGTCCCCGGGGAAGGGCGGAGGGGAGAACCTGTGCCACGGCCACTTGTGTCTGCTGCTGCTGTTGCTGCAGGAGCTGCTGGAGAAGCTGCATTTGGTGGTGAGCAGAGAGGGGTGTTCCCAGATCAGGCAGCTGGGCAGACGAGGGCAGCAGCATCTTGGGTGACGCCGTCAGGATATCTTCAGGGTGGAGGCAGCCCTGTAAAAAAAAATCAGCGTTGAAAGTAAGATCTCGTGCTCCTCACCGCAGAGAGATGCCATGCACACATACACGTGCTGCAGCACAGAGCAGCCCCCCAAAATACCCAGGAAAGAAGCTGCTGCATTCAAAGTGAATGCACATTTTGTAGAAAATTCCCCAAAAGGCTGATGCTTCCCATGGGAAGTTCCACTGTATCAAAACAGTGGTTGTTTTTTTGTTCCCCAGTGGAAAAAAATCCCTATCAGCTCTGTCCCAGACTCTTTCCGTGCAGCTGCACATGGCTGAGCCTCGGCACGGTGCTCTCCGGGAGCGCCCTGGGCCCCGAGCCAAAGGGCAGCCCTGCGGCGGCAGACGGCTTTCATCCGAGAGCTGGGGAATGCTGCACAATCCCTCCTGATCCCCGGGCCCCTGGGATGCACATTGGAGCCGCAGGGCCGGGGCCGCGCTGTGCCCCGAGAGTGAAGGGCAGGGACCCACGCACCTTGGTGTCAGCGTAGGCACTCGCCTCCTTGCCCACGGCGTCGAGGTCGGTCCCCCCGCGGCTGAA